TGATCAGCAGATGACCCATACGCCAACATTCGTATCACAGCTGTGAACTTTTGCTCGGGAAGCAGCCCCAAATCTCCAGCACAATTTTTCTTTTGAACAAAGTAGTCATCATAATTGCAAATATCATGCATGACTTTATTGAACAAATGGGGTTGCATTCTATATCTTGCTCGAAAATGAACATCAGAGTACAGAGATTGTAGGATAAAATCATCTTCCAGAAGATTCTTACCCCGAGAATGTCTATGTCTATCCACATTCGATGCCCGGCCTTCTCGTGAACCACGACGGCTCTGGTTTTCTTCATCCGTCAAAGCAACGGCCACACCAAGTTGCTCATCTAGTTCTCTCTGCGCCCTTTTGCTTGCAGCTCTTCTGCGCATTCTTGCTCATCTTTCTCGCTCTTGCCTATCCAAAACATCTTCCATGTCTGACATTGACAATGGAGAATGAAATCTAAAATCTGAGAAATGAAATCTAAAATATGAGAAATGAAGATGTAGAGAAGATATGGTGTGGGAGGTATGAGCTGAGCCTCTGGTTTTATAGAAAAATTTAGACAGATAGAAATGACACGTGGCGCAATTTTAGAGGATGAAAATCTTATCTGAAATTTGAAATTCAAATGAAATTTGGAATTGGAAATGTATCTGGAATTTGAATTTCGAAATGTATCTGAAATTCAAATTTTGAATTTATCTCAAATTTGAATTTTGAAATGTATCTGAAATTTGAAATTTATCTGAAATTTGAAACCGAAAATCTTATCCGATATGAATAGTATTGACACGTAGGAACCCAAAAATCTTATCCGAAAATATTATCCAAATTAATTGTTTAAATAAACAAAGTTGTAAAAAAAAACAAAAAAATGAATAGTAATTGCCATGGCAAGGGGCTAACTGCTGGAAACACACATTTGCTGGGGGGAGCTAGGGCAACCACTATTCATGTGAATAGTAACTGCCATAGGGCTCCCCTTGCCATGGTGGAAGTGCTCTTAGAAGAAAGTGCTCAAGGTGTGGTTCCACAGGCCACAATAAAAGCACCTGTAAAAACACTATTCCATTGCGCAATGTATCTTAGATAATATGATTTCTGTTGCTTTGGTAGGTCATGTAAACTTTACTTTTATTTGTGGTGGGTTTCGTGTTATGTTGAATGGGAATTCTTTTACATATGCATAATTTGGGTTGCATTGCTACAGCATGCTGCGTCCAGATTGCCATTATATTGTTTTATTGTACTGGTATTACTTCCAGATTGCTATTATAATTTGAGTACGAAATTGCCTAGTTGTTGCAATCGACGAAATTAGAAGCTGAATTCTGCGAATATGTAGACGGATGAGCCCCCTAGTCCGCCATGTGAGGGAGGGAGCTGTGCTCGTAGCGTCTGAT